TCAAGTGTAAATTGACAGCTCTTACTGTACACTGTGGTTGATCTCACTTCTGTGAAATGCCATATTGGTATGAATGACCTTTATATATAGTCATATGTCTAGAGAAATAGAATCATGCATCTAAGGAAATCTGTATTAACCGAGTTTGGTGTCAGAACCATTGTTGTGTATTTAGCCCAGAATTCTTTGTATTTTTGACACTGAAAACCAAGGAATTGCCTATTAAAACTGATGTCTGGTTTCAGCTCAGATTAAATGGTTTCCATGTGACATCCTTTTAAACATAGTTGCCCTACATTGTTTAGCCACACAGCCTGAGAAGCACACAGATCACACCAATGCAGAGAGACTCAGAGCAAGTACTATGTCATTTTAAAAGTGTGGAGATTCAGAAGGCAAAAGGAGAAGATGGAAAATCCTCTGTAGCTGGGTCCAGGAGAAAAACCTTTTGTAGGTCCAAAGTCAGCTGACTCCCTATCTCTGGGTATGCTCAGCCTACGTAATTAGAGAGAAAGAGTAGCAAAATTAGGAATAGTGTGCTGGACAAACGTCTACCAATCCATACCTGTTTAAGTTAGACAGATCTTCACACAGTACAAGGGTAGGCATCACTGAGTGTAGGGAATAAAACTGTCCTGAATTAAGTTTAAAATCTGTCCTAAACGACTGATCAATGTGTTAAAATCTCCTACCAGAGTGTGCCATTACTAAAGCTGGAAATATTTTATTTTAGAAATAGTTTGTGGGCATATTTAATGGCTGTGAATTCCAGTTTAACACTTTGTTCAATATGACTCTCAAGAGATGTGTTTTTTTCTGTATTAGTCATAAATAGCAGCTGCATCCTAAGCATATAATATTGCAAGCATGACTTGACTATTGATTTTACTATGTGAAGTACTTTTAATAGTCATGGAACCGCTTAAGTGTCTCTGACAGAGCAAGCGGACCAAATTGGGTGCACTGTAGTGTGTTTTAACTAACACTGTTGTATCCACTAATGTTAAATATGCAGTAATGTACAGCATCAAATACCAACAAAGTACCTACAAAAATACATTCTGCACTCTGTCAAGCCAATCGTAAATATGATGCATGTTGACCATTCTTAATCGTACTTTAATCTCATGCTGGGGTATGTTAAGAACATAAGAACATACGAAATTTACAAGCTCGTTTGGGGAGAACTTAACTAATAGCTCAGAGTTGTTAAAATCTTATCTAGCTCTGATTTAAAGGAACCCAGGGTTTTAGCTTCCACTACACTAGCAGGAAGACTATTCCATACTCTAACTACACGCTGTGTAAATAAGTGTTTTCTCAAATTCAGTTTAAAATGTTCTCCCACTAATTTCCACCTATGGCCACGAGTTCTAGTATTTAAACTAATATTAAGTATTAATATTAGTATTAATATTATTACAGTAATACTATTAAGTATAAGTAGCCATTTGGCTGAACAGTATCCAGACCTGTTAGAATCTTATATACCTGGATCATGTCCCCCCTTAGTCTCCTTTGCTCAAGGCTAAACAGATTCAGCTCAGCTAACCTCTCCTCATAAGACATTCCTCTAAGACCAGGAATCATTCTTGTAGCCCTCCGTTGCACCTTTTCCAAGGCAGCAATGTCCTTCTTAAGGTATGGTGACCAAACCTGCACACAATATTCTAGGTGGGGTCTTAGCAAGGAACTGTATAGTCGTAGCATCACCTCCCTTGGCTTAAACTCCACACACTTAGAGATGTAACCCAACATCCTATTGGCCTTTTTTTATTGCTTTCCCACACTGGCGAGAGTGGGACATGGAAGCATCAACATACCCACCAAGGTCTTTCTCATCAGACGTACAGTGACAGGTTATGAGAATTTTACAACAGTGCTGCATAATTAATTGCTAATCTACGTTAACATTCGTTTGACGTTTGGGGGTTTTCTTTTTTTATGTAGTGCAATTCCAATAGTAAGGAACATGTATCCCCTTAAAACTTTTAAAAATTTTGTTAGAGAATGGGTGAAAAAAAAATGCAACACATCACTGATTTAAAAAAAATGCATATTCACATTTTTAATGAGGTTCTCCATGCAATTATTCTCCAGCTCTGCCAAATTAAAGAGTTCCAGTCAATTCTTTTAGGTCATAGCACAGATTCTCAGTGGGATTCACATGCAAGCTTCTACTAGGCAATTCCAGAACACTGACCTTCTTGGTTTGAGCCATTCCTTTATAGGCTTGGCCATGTTTTTTGGCCCATTGTCTTCTTGGAACATACATTAAATACTCACCCTGACCACAGATCTCTTATCTGACACAAGTGTTGACTTTCCAAATGGCATAGTTCACAGCTTCTAGCAAACTCCAGGTGTGGCTTAATGATAGTCTTTTCCCACAAGTGCCTTCAGCAGGACCACTCTTCTGAAATCTGTGTAGTGTTGCAGAAATTGGTCTCTGGACAATATTTCCACATGTCAGGCGGTGAACTATGCAGCGACAACGCAATGTAGCATTCCTCTAAATTATTTCACTTGCGACCGCCCTCCTCGTCCGGTTGCTTGAGGTTATGCCTGATCTTGGCAGCTTCTCAGGAGTGACGCCTTGTTTTGTTATGAAGGTCTTAAGTGTGCTCCTGTATCCGATCTTGGCAGTCTTTGTGTATTCTTCTCCCACCAATCACTTTCATTGGGAAGTTCTACTGGCAGCTTAGGTGATTTTATCTACTCCTTGAATTGTGAGATATCACAAAGTATTTAATATGTATTCTGCAATGAGGCAGTTGAAGGCTTAGATTCCAGATCAACACAGGTGGACCTCATTCACATTCTAGTATGAGCTATTATGAGAATAGAATACACCTGCCCCAACATCATTTTCATTTTCCAATGTTATTTTTAATATAATGCTATTACTGTAAAGATGAGGCAGTTTTGTATAGAGCATTGTCCTTGGGGACCCACAGACAGTCCACGTTTTTGCTCCCTCCAAACTCCAGAACAGAAATGTGGACTATCTGGCAGGTAACTCGGAGAGAGCAAAATATGGACCGACTGTGATTCTCCAAGGACCGGATTGGGAAACTCTGGTATGGAGTAATGTGCCAAATTACTTTCTAACCACTGCACAGATCAGAACAGCAGCTGCAGAAAGCATTTGGTTAAGGTTATTGCCAAAAAGACTCTGCTAATTGAAAGTAAGGCCGTCTTTATTTGCTATTATCACAACTTAGATAAAGATCAGATCATGGAATTTTTTGGGTGATTCTGCTGGTCTTGCAGTAATCCAGATAATTGCAGTTGGTTCAAAAACCTTTTCTCACAAATGTATTTGTAATTTGACCTTGTAAAGTAGCAAAATGAGAAATAATCAATGGATGAATGCTTTCTGAAGGTACAATGTCATGGTTCACTCAGATTGTAAGCATCAGATAACACAGGTGAGTTCATTGGAGCGTAGATTAGTGTATGTCAAGTTGGCTGTTATCTACTGATTGCATGGTCATTCACGGATTCAGATTCCTGGCATTGATGTTGCAATATTTTCCAGGAAAAAAGTAACAGTTTACAAGCATTGGATTAATGAGTGTTTGGCAGATGACAGTTGTTCTTAAAACCTTGGTCAGGCTTAAATTATTTTCAGTAAAAGCGTGGTCTTCTCTCCATTTCCTCCATTAAATATTTGATTGCTCCGAATGTAAACAGCTACATCCTTTGGGAAAGCACTGTCCTTAAATGATGTTTAAAGATCAACCACTGACGATTTAGTCCAGAGAGGTGACTATAAATAGAGACAGATGAATGTCCCCTTCCATGTAGTTACAGTTAACATACCCAATGGTATACAATGCAGTCTGTCATATAATTCTGAGGCATTGTACTAAACCGATGAACTACATGGCAGATTACTACACAAGATTGTTTTTTCCCAATCACTGCAGTACCTTGGATTAGAACGCTTTGTCTTTTGTTTAATTGCATTATTTTTCTTTGAAGAAGTACACAAAATTACCACGCATTTTTGTGCAGCAATTGGTTAGCAGACCTAACTGTAGCTGCATTTCAGTGTATGTTTAATGATATATAACATACAAATCGGAGTTACAGAAAAAAAAAAACCTTTCTGTCAAAAAGAGAGTCGTATATACAATATGCTATAGCTATAAACACAAATTAAATGTGGTGATTCCTCTTCAGCATAAAAAAAAAGACTGCAATGAATGCCCGTGGATCTTAGCGATACACCCATCTTGTCACATGCAAGACATATATTCACAAAAATGATGTAATTCAAGAAAACGTGAAAAAGGAGGCAGCGAGGGCTTCCAGTCACATTCTAGGAGATTTAGGGTGCAATTCTCTCTGTTACAAGGCTGAGTCCGGAGCCCAGAAAACTTATAAGTGATATATGAAGAGGCCACCCAGAAATGAGCAGAAATTTAAGTGAATGTCACGAGGGCCTTGGAACAAATTGTGTGTAACCTCCATTTGTTGGTGTTTGTGTTTCTAATCTATTTTATTGTAAGAGATGCATAGAAACATTGATGTTTTTAAACTAGACAGCATTATGTGGATAGTGATGCATTCTAGGTTCCTCAAATGCCATAAATCAGTCTAATCTCCTTTCCAACATTTTACGGAAATGGCCTGTGAGCTCTTGGAGATTTCTGGCTTTTCTAGAATTTAGTCTCGGGGCATGGCTGTTATTAAAGAGCATCATCAAAGAGGGAAACTGTGGAGACCCAAATAAATAAGCAGGTGTTTCCGTTACTTGAAAAACCTCTGAAGTACCTCTGTTGCATGTTAATGTAGGGATATTAAATAAAAATCTATAATCCCATCCCTACTGTTGCTGCGCTTTGAGATATTACGTTGTTTATGTCTGATCTAAGACACCTATCGAATAACTTTATTTAAGTCAGATCCCTAGCATCACAGAAATCTGTGTGAAAGCTTTAGTTTAGCATTAACACTTCTCCATTCTGTTTGTTGTTCTTTTTTTGCCCCAGGGGGGTGTCTCCGTGATTGGATGTGCAGAACTAACAGAACAAGAGAGACACGTCTCTGCAAGTAAGGGAACCTATGGCAGAAATCCAGAAATATACCGGTAGGTATAAATCATGAGGACCAGAGGAGTCAGGAAAGGAAAGACAGGAAAAATGACCACTAATGGATAGAGGCAGTTTCTTTGCTCTCCAAAGACTCCAGGTGGCATGTGTTCTCCGTTACTGTGTTGTGGATCTGTAACTGGGAATGATTGAACACCTTGGGACAGTCCCATGCCTTACCATCTATAAAGGTGGGTGGGACAGAAGCTCATTATTGGGTCACTGGTTTGTTCTGTTGCCCCATGCCTCCAGAGAAGGGGGCGTAAATACCCCCCCATCTGTATGAAGTTTGCCTGTTTCCCCTGTACTGTGCAGATTTCCTCCTGCTGTCTAAAGACCTACAGTCAGGCTAAGTGGCATCTCTGATTTGTGCTTTGTGTACGTGTGCGTGTGTATGTGTGTTATGTATATGTTACATTGTGGGAACTAAATGTCCCCACAATGTAATGAAGACCTGTTATTTTGACGTTGTGAGGACCATTTTTGCAATTGAACGCAATCGAAAAAATGACAAGTCTCATATTTAGTTTAGTTACTTATCTGTAGGTGTAGGGCTGGGTAGGGTTAAGGTCGTCAAGTTGGGATTAGAGTTTTCCCAATATAACTGAATGGAGAGTCCCCACAAAGATATCAACACAAACTCGTGTGTGTGTGTGTGTGTGCGTGTGTGTGTGTGTGTGTGCATGTGCATGTGCAGGTGTGCGTGTGTGTGTGTGCAAGCGGGTTTACCTATCCTTATGGGGACATAATGTCCACATAACGTGATAAATATCCGTTTTTTTTTTCCTTATGGGAACCGGTTTCCTGGTCATCATAAGGGAAAACTCTATTTTATAAGAGTTTATAAGGGCAGGGTAGGGGTTAAGATTGTCGTAGTTAGCGTTAGCATTTTTCCCATTGAAATGAATGAGCGGTCCCCATAAGGATATGTTTACCCTACATGTGCGTGTGTGTGTGTGTGTGTGTGTGTGTGTCAGTGTGCAGGTTCTTTGGGCCGGTATCCCTTCCAGCTTAACCTGTGCTGTCCAGGAGCGATTCTGGCTGCATGAAGAGTTAGAAGATGGATGGATACAGTATGAAAGCAGGAAAACTCTAGCATCTTCTATACATGTGCAGCCAAACTAAATCTATGCTTCAATTTCACATCCATAGTGAATCAAAATATATCGAGATATATGTCACATAGACTCACTGCCCTGCAATATTTCGTTTGTCAGTTGTCTGCTTGTATAAGAAGACAGATTGTTGCAAGCACATGTCTGAGGTATCCAATGTCTCTGATACTGGATACTGTGCAGTATTAACTGCTGGTATCTGATCAGTCTCTGAGGTGTAAAATCCCTACAAAGAAACCTGTTTTACCAGAAATTATTGATAATTATGTGTATCTGCAATTTGTCTTGAATACATTCCAGTGCCCTCATAAACAGGCATTTCTGTGTGTCACAGAGGTCTCACTCTTCTTGTGGATCGGATTCCTGCCTTGCTGTCATGTCTGCAGTTATCACATTGTCCTCTTCTTCATGTGCACTTTCTCCAACAGTTCGCAAAATGTAGCTAATTGGCATCTCCGAATTTCCTTACTGTATGTTTGTATGCGAGTGTGTGTCCTGGGGTGGACTGGCATCTCATCCCATCAGCCCTGCCCCCTGTACTTCCTGTGATAGTCCTCAGGACGCCCTCCAGCCATATAAACAGTTATGGAGAATGGATGGACGTAATACACATTTCTATTTCCAGGAATTATTGTGTCTGGTTATAGATTTATCTAGCCGGATCTTCATATGAAAGCCATCTTAAAAGAGTAGAATTTTATAGGATTAGGTGCCCTTCACTGCCCGGAATTTAAATGTAAGCCATTGCATTCTAGTGTTCATTTTATATTACATTGCACAGGGAAGTGAACATTTAATTGGAATTCTATATATATTGCACTGTCCAAAACGATGTTTTTCAAAGAAAGACACTAACTGGCATTAGATGTGTTGTTTTTAAATTTTAAATGCAATGGAATCCGGCCCAGTATCAACTCCGGCGGCTAATTAGACACACCAGAGATGAAAGTGAGGCTATCAAAGCCATTCTGTGACCGGGGCAGAAGGAACCAGTCACAGTGACACCACAGTTTAGCTGGAGTGAGTGGAAGCAGACATTATGCGCACTGCCACTTCCATGTACAGCTCGTTTGCCCCATCTGAAGAGAGGCAGCCAAGAAACTTTCTCTTTGTAATTAACTCAAGCACTCCTAGGGTAAGGTAGCCTGGTGTGACGTGGTGACTCACTTGGTGGCACTGTTCCCTCCCACGTCCAAGTTTGGGCGTTCAGACCGCGCCCCCACTCTGTTGCTGCAGAGTTTGCATGTTCTCCCTGCATCATGTGGGCTTCCTCCTGCTGTCCAAAGACATGCAGGTAGACTAACTGGCATCTCTGAAATGCCATACCTCGTGTCTGTGCCTGGCGATGGACTGGCATCCCATCTGTGCTATACCCCAGCCGTGTGCCCTTTGCTGCCTGGGATGGGGTCCAGACCCCCCTGCGACCGTGCCCAGAATAAGGCTGGATGGATATGGAGGATGAAAAAAATCATTACACTCCTTTCATAATTTGTTTAGGAATAGGATATCACAAGAAAGTTGGAGTACCTTTTAGTTTCTTTACAGAAATAGATCCACCAAACACAAGGACCTGAAGGATGGTGGAATCGAGCAAACATACAAAGAAACTCCTTACCTCTCTAACCAAAAACAGGAAACCCAGAGAGCCCCACCCCCACTGCTCTTTTGGGGCTCTTTCTCTCACAGCTACAGAGCAAACTCACTTCACACAATTACCTGATGATTACATGTCAGTAAACGGGCTTGTCACCCAACCTCATCCACCGCCGCCCCTCCCTGAAACATCCATACTCTCCCCACACCGTACAGATTGTTTCCTTTTAGTGTCAAGATTGGTGGCTTGACATTGCCTGTGTCTCTCTGGGTCTTACTGACAATGTGCTGTGAGATGTGACCTGACACCCAACTCCGTTTTTCTGCGCCACCCACCCTATATGCACAAAATACATAGAGTAACCTTTCTGTGCCACTGGGCAAGACTGGGGAAAAAAATCATGGATGGCTGATTTATATTATTATTATATTACATTATTATACTGCACAGTATTATATCGCACATGGATCTCAATCGCTAATACCTGTTTCTTCATGTATGTTTTTCAATTATCTACTTAAATTATGTTAGCATATCAGGCCTGAACCAGTGATTTCTTCTTCAGATATTACTAAGTGATTTTCTATCTCGAAAGTGCTTAGCTGTGGTCTTTTACTACATTCACTGACTAGGCATACTACAGTAAAGCTATAAAGGTCCTTATTAATATTTTATTTGGGTTTAATTGCTCTTATTACCAGGAGAATGCTGTGTGTGCTGCAGATAATGGTTCAATGGGACAGTTAATGACTTAGAAACCCAGTGGGCACCATATCTAACTTTACCTCAATGGTCCATGTAGCATCTTTGCAAAAACAGGCTCACGCCACCAGCATCCATTTATTTATGTTAGGTTTGTTCAGAGCTAATTTCCCCTGGACACTACCACTCGTCTGTGAAAGTGAAATTCTAAAAAGCTAAATTATTTTTACATAATACATGTGGCATACTTGCATTGTCGAATAATAACAAGATGTCTGAGATTTCTGAGATAGTATTTCTGAGATAGATAATATATTTTTATCCATTTTTAGATGAACAATAATTGATAACATGATAACACTGTCTATGAATGCCATGTCTATAAAAATCTATGAACACATTTATAACATATTATAATGCATTCGTGAAGCATTATAAATATAACACATTACAGCCATGTTCATTGTGCATTGTGAACTTTATGAATCTCTCATCTATACTCACTATAAATACCTTCATAATGTAGTATAATGCATACTTAAGTCTTACACCAACTATTATAATGTATTATGAAGGGATCTATAGTGCAATATAGATGAGAACTTCATTGGAGCTTATGAAGTATTATAATCAACACTATAATGCCGTGTGACTGTCAACAGAAGATGCTGTAATGCTTTATTAATTCTTATACCGACCATTAAAATGCATTATGAAGGTATCTATAAAGCATTAAAGATGAAAGCTTTGTTGGAGTTTATGAAGTATTATAGTCAACACTATAATGTCTTATGACTGTCAATATACATTAAGATTATGCAACGCTTTATTAATTTGTATACCGATCATTAAAATGCATTATCAATGTATCTATGATGCATTATAGTAAATAACATCAGTTTGATTAATCAACCACTTAATTAATTAACCAATTATTCTATCATTCAATTGGTTGAGCAATAATAGAGCATATATGATACACAGTGCACTACAACATAGGAATAGCCAGTGTTGGGGAAGCTACTTTTGAAAGGTAGCTTTTAAAGCTACAATTTATTTATTAAAAGTAGCTAAGGTACCGCCAAGCTACTACTTTATTATAGTAGTTAGCTACACTACAAGCTACAGCGAAAAAGTAGCTAACTATATCAGAGCTATTTCACCCTGTAATACTTAATATTCGTGCTGTAGGATACTCTTAAAGCACATTAATTAGAAAAAAATGTAAAACATGATGTTAAAAATAATAAGAAAATCTATATTTTTTTTAACAATGTACTGTCAAATCAAAATAAGGTTTCAAAAATGGTTCTTTGCTTGGTGTAAACCAGGAGTACTTCACAATTGCTGTGTGAAAAGTAGAAGGGTTACAATAAAAAAGAGATTTCTATATGTACATGTTATGTTTTATATTTACAAATGTATACTGTACTTTAAGCACCGCAAACAGTAGATTAGTGAACGAGCATCTTACGGGAATGCGTTTTTTGTCACGCTACATTGCAATTTGTACAAACGAAAAAAAATAATTAGCAGAAAAGCTACAGTGTTTTAAAAGTAGCCACACTACTAATAAGCTACTGAAAAA